CCTGAATGTGTTCAAGTGAACTCGGGGGGTGTGGGGGTGGGGAATAGCTCCACAAAGTCAATTAAATTAAATAAGTTTAATTTTAGTGAAAGCTGAGATGGTGTTGCTTGGGAGATTAAGTATAGAATTTCCAATTTAATGCTTTGAGTGTATGTGTCTTAAATCTGTACAACTAGCTCATTCTGGGAGTTGAGATCTGTTTCTCAGTGAGTGATGGTCCTGCTACCAATAAGGTCTTAGGAGTTCGGGGTTTGGGGGAGGGCACAGCGCAGTGGTGGAGTGCGTGCTTAGTTTACACAAGGTCCTGGGTTCAATCCCCAGTACCTCCATTACAAAATAAGTAATTACCTACCCCCCCATGCAATAAAGTTTAAAAAAAGAAGTTTTTTCAAAAAACAAAAAAAGAGGGGTTTTGTTGCTGTATGAGACTAAATAACAAATGAAGAAAACACACGTTCAAATATATAAAACGCATTTATTTTCTCTGAGGTGACAGCAGAGGCCACCAGCGGTAAAAATGAACTGCTAAGTTCCTTGCATTTCCCCAAGTATGGATTTAATATACAACACATGCATTTCTTGGAACTATTTCTGTGCTAGTAAGAATTATTCTCCTAAAAGATCCACCCATGAAAACGCAAGATGACATGCTTGATTTTCAGAATTCTTGTTCCCGTTCTGTCAGTAAGCAATACTAGCAAGAAGGCCAAAGCCCAGGGAGAGTGCGCATCAAGGCCAAGGTGGCTCTTGCGGCGCGGAGGTCTGAGGGGTCAGTGAGATGCTGTGCTGAGCCATAAATCTAAGCAAACAAGGACTAGAGAAGAGCTACCTGCAGGGAGGCCCTGCCAGGGCAAGCGCACGTTTTTAAGTCCTGAAATAATCTGTTGAGGGTCAAGGTGTGGTCCTGAGAGAGTGAGGTCTGGTGCTCGCGGCTCTGGGCAAAACACGGATCTGAACAGACAACAGGAAGTCTCACCAGGCCAGGCACGTGTGACTGGAACTCTGACATGGATTTTGGGTTTTTGAGGTTTTTGGTTTTGTTTCTAAGAAAGCAACAGAAACTCAAAAACGACAATTTGGTCCTTTGTTCTCTCCATTTGAAAGCAAAGAGCCAGCGTTGTTTACCTTTTTGCTGATGCCTCTGGTGTGCCTGGAAGGGTCAGACTTGATCCTGGATTTGCAACAAATGTAGACCCTCGGCAGCTGGTGGGGGGGCTTCTGAGTGGGAAGCAGAAGCGGCTAATATTTTAAATCAGGAGGAAGGCTAAGCCTTCCAGGACTTTCTTTTCAAAGAAAGAAATGTATGTATCTGTTCTCCTCCTACTGACTGAGATTTTGAAGTGCTTGTTGGGGACGGTGGTCCAGGGTGACGTCATGGAAGGAGCAGGGGTGCAGCACCTTTTCTGAGCCCCCTGTGTGCACTTTACCTTCTCATTTGTAAGGCGGGGAGGAGGCGCCCTGCCTGCTCCTCGGGGCTGCGCAGCCAGCACATGGGAGCTCCCCGGCCACCTGTCGGTGCAGGTGTGATGTGGTCCCAGCATTTGTCCTCTGGAGTCACTGGAATCCCTTTGGGGCCTCACAAGAACTCTTTGAAGTTGTTGTTCCCATTATAGAGATGAGGAAACAGAGGCTGAGAAGCAAACAAGTGGCTCCAGATCACACAGTAGCCCAGTAAGGAGGCTGGGGTGAGAATGCAGGTCTGATTCTGAAACATTCTAGAACAATCGGATATGCGGTTTTCCACAGTTTCCTGAACAGTTACCTGCTTCTTTGTGGCTCGTGTTCCAGCTGACAGCTCCGAGCCCTGTTTGAATCATTGTAGGTCAATTCTGTGTTAGGGAAGCAAGCTCTAATTACCGCTGGGGGACAGAAGGCTGCATCTTCCAGGAATTGGGCAGAGCCCAGCAGGAGGCAGCTACAGGTCTTCAGCAAAAGATCACTTCTCAACAAGGTTGTCAATCCCAGCGACCCCCGACCTTCCACCTGCAGGTCCCTGAACAGCTGCTGTTCTGGGGGCCGCAGTGGCAGCCTGTCTTCCTTTAAAAGGCAAGTGCTCCCCCCCTCCTCACCCCCTGCTGAGATCCCACCTGGGGTTTCATCCCCAGAGCTGGGAGGTCATCTCCCACATCTAGAAATTAAGAAAAAGAAAAAGGGGTGTGGGGAAAGGACAGCTTTGACAACAGACCCGAGCTCTCCCTTTTAATATAAGCCAGATTTAACAGATGTCATTCTGTAAAGCCGGGAGTCCAATTTGAGGCTCGTAACTCGCAGCATCCTTCCAAACTCCTCCTCGAAGCGAGGGGCAGCCCCGCCGAGCACTTCAAGGTAACTGGTGAAAGGGATGATTTGCCCACTGTAAGCCTGTGTCTTGATTCCCCGTTGTCATTTTTATTTGTGTTGAGATTTTTGTGGTTTAAAAAAGTCAACTAGATTTATTTTAAAATTAAGGCGAACCAACATCAAAGGCAGTAAGAAGAGGCTGGTGAGGTACCTTTTAATAGCCGTGTTCTTTCTCAGGGCACGTATCAGTAAGTGGCGGGGGACCTTTCGTGACCAACTGGCTATATTTCTCCAACCTCAGACTCCCCCCACGGGTGAAAATCCGTTTCTGCTGGGATTTAGAAGCCCCCCTTCTCCACCTCCTCCTCAGCCTCTTAATCTAATCCTGTTTGTAACACGGCATGCTGTGTGAAGAATGAGAAACACAGGCTTAAATCCTTTGCTGCCACCCAAGCTGCTGAGATACAAGCGTCTGATCTGGACCGTGGTTCACTTTTAGATACAAAGAAAGCTTTCAGGCCAAAAATGAGACCATTTGGTTCAGGAGTCGTTTACTTGGTAAGCAGAAGGAAGTTAATGTTGAAAGTTTCTCTGAAGAAGAATGGCAGGTGACACCTGAAAGTTTGTTAGTTAGTTAATGCCACAGGATTTTTTTCAAGCCAGATCCTTATATAGAATATATTTGTTTATTGGCTCATGTAGCAACACAGGTGCCTCCCCTGTTCTGGGCACTTTAAAGTGACAGATAAGGAAGGCAGGCAGGCAGGCAGGAAGGAAGGAGATATGGATATATAGAGATAGATTTGTTGTTTCTCAAGACAGCTTTTTATGAGAGATTCTTCTTACCCCACTTATAGGTGAGCAAATTGGACTACGCATGCTTTTCCCACTCTACAAATCTCTCTCTTTAAAGGGGACTTGCACTTCTGAGCATATCTTGTACACTTTCAGGGACAGTGTCTCCTGTGCTCGGTGCTACACCGGCATCGGTGCTGTGGTACTTCTGCTAATTAATCAGCATCCAAACAGATCATCAGGGTAACTCTTGGCACCCAGATGGCCAATGCGAAGCAGCATTTTCCCACTGTCAGAAGGGAAGTTCTGCACATCCACTGGCAGAAGAAAATGGTGGTAACAGGTGGCATTTATACAGCCCTGTGTTTATGGGAACACCCCTGTGTACAGTCATGCATCTCAAAGACCCCAGGTTTCCCCCGTGGGAAATTCACCCCACAGTGGGTCCAGAGGAACACATGGTCGCGGCTCCTGAACTCACCAGGCTCACAGCGACTGATGGTTTCTCTAGTTTCTTGCCACGGGGTCGCCCTCAGTCGTCCTTATGCACAGTCTCTCACTGATAGAATCCTCCCCAGAACAGGCAGAGACTGGCAACCAAATTTCTCAGTCAACAATGGCTGATGCTTGTTCCGTGAGACAGGCTGTTTGCCATGTTGTGGTTCCTAGGAAGAGCAGTCTCAGGTGCAGGAACCCCTCGTTTTACTGCCCTTTCATTGTGTTAAAGCAGGTGGACTTGGAACCAAGTCCTGGTTCTACCACCTGCTAACTTTGTTAATCTGAGCAAGTTATTTAACTTCACTAAGCCTCAGTTTTCTCAGCTGTAAAATGGGAATGATAAACCGATTTCCCAGAAGAACTGAGAGAAGTAAATGAGTAGATATGTGGAAAACACTTAGCATGACACAAAACGATACCTGACATATGGTGACTACTTGCTCAGTTTTTTAATACTAAACAACTTTCATATGCTTACTGGCTAAGAAAGTGGTTCAGGTACATTACAGTCTGGTGGAGAGGTCAAATGAAAAACAAGCAGTGTCAGAGTGAGAACTGTTCTGGCATAGGTCTGTCCTTTGGGAGTATGATCTGGCAGCATCTAATGGTCAAGGGAGTTGGGTAAGACTTCAAAGAGAAGGTGACACATTTTGGGGGGTCCCCAAAGGAGAGTGTGGACACCACCTGGATCTCTGCAGTAGAATATGGGCTGGAGCCACCTGTCCTACAATAGCACTCACTTCCCTAGAGTTAACAGAAATGATGGCCTGCACTTATATTGATCTGTCTGTAATAAATAGCTTTATTGGTAAGCATGTGTCTTGCAGAAGTAGACTTGGCTATAATTCCAGCAAATCCAGTTTTATTACTGGTATTTATGTGCAATGTTAGGGATGCGAAAAATTCATAGAAGCTAGGTACATAAGTAATCAATAAAATACCCTAGTAAACTCAAGAGGAAAAAATGTGTTGAAATTCTGATTCGTTGTTATTCCACATAACATATTTGTGATTATATTTAATAGCCTAATTAGCGATAAAATTTTATGAGAGAACATCGCTGTGGGAACATTCCCTTCTACATTACTGAGTTTTATCTGTACATCTGTAACATTACCACAATCAGCTTGATGTGTTTTTACACATTTTACTCAGTGAACCTAAATGAATTTGCACTAATTAGATTTTTAGCTGCCAGTCTTGGTTTCCTAAGTTTGAATCCATATACCTTCAGAGGACTTGTGCTGTTTGAGGTGGTGACAACTTCAGATCTCTTCATAAACACAGAGAGATGTGTGGGAGAAAAAAATACTTTAGCAATGTCTGCATTATCTTTCCTAAATGGTTATTTCACAGGCTTTAACTCGAGCTATTTCTCTAAATGACTAAAAAAATATATAGTAAGACTCCTTTCTGGATATTTTCAGAACTCCTAGTTATAACTATGCACCAAATATGGATAAACACTGGATTATGCAGTACACGGGACCCATGCTGCCCATCCACATGGAATTTACAAATGTTCTGCATCGCAAACGGCTTCAGACTTTGATGTCAGTGGATGATTCTGTGGAAAGGGTAAGCATGTGAACTTGCCTCAGTGATAGGTTTTGGTTCAGCTCGCCTTTTATAGACCCATCCTGGCCAATCCTACTTCCTGTTGTTGTTGTTTTCTTCATTTTAAGAGAGAGAGAATGTGTGTGTGTTCAGTGAATTTATCATCCATCCCTTATCTTGTCCATTACCTTTCCTATTACCTCTCCAGGCTTGATTCTTGTGGAGCCAATAGCAAGGAGGAAATAAAAATCAAGACATCATTAATTAAAGGCCATAGCCACAAATACCATCAGGAGTTAAACAAATAATGTAAATAACTAAAGTAGATCCAGTATAAGGCAATAGGGAATGGTGGGGATTGCGGTGAACTTGAAACTAAGTGCCCCCATCTAAAGCAGGGAGTAACTTCTAAGCTTCAGCTGATTTTTGTCATGTAGAAATGAAGATCCAGTATCAAGTCTTCTGACTTTTAAAAGAAGCCAGAAATACAAAAATTTTATTTGAAATTTCCTGAATTTTAAAACATAACATAAACCAAACAAGACATGCTTAAAACCTGTCTAGCTGGATCCAGCTCAGAAGTAGACTTTTTAAACCCTTGATAACTAGTTCTGAGTGATGATAGTAAAATTTGTTTTAACATTGCATTTTTCAAAGTAAAACCTTCAAGTTTGGTGGTGCAGGTTGTTTTGCATTTTGTTTGTTTTTTTTTTCCAAATGGGCAAATAAAACCTTTAAGTAGAATGTGCAGATTCAAAAAAGTTACATATTATATAAAGTCAACTATTCTTGGACTTTGTCCCTCCAGAATTGTAAGCAACTAGTATATGGCTAATGGACATGTTTGTCAGCCTTATAAAAGCAACTCTTGCCTTGGAAGAATAATGGGAAAAAGATTTGGGGGAAGTCATGGCAACACTTCTGTCATCCTGCGTCATCACAATTGCTTCTGACCGGTCTCTGTGCTGTGTTCCAGCTGTATAACATGCTTGTGGACACCGGGGAGCTGGAGAACACTTACATCATCTACACCGCCGACCACGGCTACCACATCGGGCAGTTTGGACTGGTCAAGGGAAAATCCATGCCATATGACTTTGATATCCGTGTGCCTTTCTTTATTCGTGGTCCAAGCGTAGAACCAGGATCAATGTACGTAGTTCTCTCTGTTTGCAACACTCATCTGTCGTCTGAGCTCATGTCCGTCTGAGATAATTCGATTACCAGTCTCAGTGTCTGGTTTCCTTTCATCCAGAACCAAAAAGGGTGCATGTAGGTTGGTAATTTAGAAGATGAAACCCTCCTCCCGGCTCTACCCCTCCCCTCACCCCACCCCCACTGCATATTAAATTAACTCAAGTCTACTATTTAAAGAGAAACGAAAAATAACTGTATCAGTGATTACTTCTCTCAGACTGACCAGAATTCATGTCACGTGGGGTTGTGCACACAGACACAGAATGTGACCTTTAGGAAAGTCATCTTTACCTTTGAATTTTTTTTTGAAATCAACTTATGCCATCCTCTTTGGTTTACTACTATTATTATTATTATTATTATTATTCAAGAAATTTTTAAGAAAATTAAATTTTAAGAAATGCATCTAAATTTTAAGAAACCTAAAGGACAAGAGTTGTATTTCTGTCACCTTCAGCAAGTCAGTACATCCCTTTGTAGCTTGACTGTCCCATTATAAAATGGGTTTCATATGCCCTACCAACCGCAGCAGGATGCTTTGCATAAGATGAGATCATGTACATGAAACAGTTATGGAAAGGGTAAAAGGAAAGAGAGCAAGCAAAATGCAAAAGCTGGAGTGGCCCTTCAAGAGAGTCTAGCCTGGACCCCTGGTTTATCAAAGAAACAGTGTACATTCTTCTCTCTCAGAGTCCCCGAGCCTGGACGTAGCAGCGTCGGGGACCAGATCCCAGATATTTTGCGTTGCATCCTTGCGCCTCATCCACTGCAGCATTCCGCTGCATCTTGGGGAGAAGGTGATGCAGCAGGACAGGCTTCTTTGGGGGAATGTTATTATGTCTCTCCAGCTCCTTAGAAACACCCTGGAAATGGTCAGATCCAAGTTAGAAGGCTTTATGTCTGAAAGACTAGGTAGCATGGAGTGGATTCAAATATAAAAAGCCTTGTGTCCCTTTTCAGAGGTTAATTTCAAAGCCTTAGGTCAGCAGAGGAGTGGTGGATGGTCGGGTTTCAGAAGAAAGCTTGCATCCTACGAAAACCGAACATCAGGCCACAATTTGTCTGACAGTGTGGCCAGAGGTCAGGGGTACAGGAATCTCTCCAGCCCAACGTCTGTGAGAGTCAGTTAATCTTGCTCTGTACCATGGCTGCTGGCCACTCAGGCACCCTCCCAGATGCGGCCACCCGTCCCTAGGTAGACCAGATGAGAGGCAGAGCAGCAGTGAAGGCCACTGAGTCACGGGGTGGAGAAAGTGGCCCTTGTGGCCCTCCCCGCTGGTGCTGGGTCTGGGGCGTAACCATCTGTCCCTTTGCAGAGTCCCGCAGATAGTTCTAAACATTGACCTGGCCCCTACCATCCTGGACATTGCTGGGCTCGACACACCTCCCGACGTGGATGGCAAGTCTGTCCTCAAACTTCTGGACCTGGAAAAGCCAGGTAACAACAGGTGCGTCATTTTTCTTCCCTTCAGCCAGCCCCGAGCCCCTGGTGCCCAGAGCCAGCCAGCAGCTGGAGGAAGTGGAGGCAAAATACACTTTGCCGGACAGGATCTCCCCAAGCTGAGTTTCTGTGAATAGCATATTGATGGAAATGCAGTCCGGTCTGCGGGAAGAGAAAGGTGTTGCTTTAAATAAACTGTTAGCACAGATCTGTTTGGAAAAACATCCAAATGCCAACAGTAAATATTATTATTTTGCTTTCAGGTTTCGAACAAACAAGAAAGCCAAAATTTGGCGTGATACATTCCTCGTGGAAAGAGGGTAATTATTGGCTCCTGGGGTGCTTCTGGGAACCAGTCTTAGCGGGCAGCTCTCCCTGCTGGGAATGTTCTTCCCCTTATTTTGGTTTATGAAGAGTGCGGATTTCGCAAACCTAGTCGTAAGACCGAGTGGCTTGCTGCTTGCTCATCCTTCGCTGGCCAGCAGAGCAATAATTGTTGCATCAGGGTTGTAAAGGAAATTAAAGATCAAAGCTTGTACGTGGCTGTGGACTTCCCGTTGCATTTCTCAGCCTTAGTTCCTAATTGGATCAATCGATTGACTTTCTCAACCATCCTTCCCAAGTTCTGCCTAACACTTTTCTACGTCTTTCCCCTAGGTGCCTTTCCTTATTTTCCATATTTTGAATATACAAATATATGAGACTGTAATTGTTCCCAAGGTCACTTCTAGGTTTCCTCTTTTGAATTTGGGGTGGGAGGGGGCTTTTGATTTATAATGCCCGTTGTCTTTGTTTTTCTCTATCCATATACTGAGCAAGAGAAAAGCATTTCTTTTCTATCATTGCTTTTTAACAAAAAGGAACTTTGAGCCTGTTGAGCTAAACATTTATGCCCAAAGTTCTGAAATTAATGCTTCTGGGGGGAAATGATTCTTCCTCTCCTGTCCTCTCGTCTTCATAGTACCCAGCTTATAATTTTCACAAGGGACTCATGAGATGCTGGACTCCTGTGGGCGGGGCCTGAGCATCTGTCTGTCTCTTACTATTTGGAGAATATGGAGTCACGCGACAGGGAAAGAACAAAAGAACAAGCAGGTCGAAGCGGAGGTAACTTCGAATCACTTCTCACTAAGAAGTCTTTCCCTTTCTGCCGAAGGAAATTTCTGCGGAAGAAGGAAGAATCCAACAAGAATATTCAACGGTCCAATCACTTGCCCAAATATGAGAGGGTCAAAGAGCTGTGCCAGCAGGCCAGGTACCAGACAGCCTGTGAGCAGCCTGGGCAGGTGAGTGACACAGCCTCTCTGCATGGCCACTCATGTGCTTTTCTGTTTCTATTTAAAAGATTTTCACCGGGGAGAATCAGGTGCATGCGTATGTCAATAAGTCTTCGGTAGCAGTCAGCAAGGGCTCACAGTGACTGTTCCCCGGACTGAGCTGTGTCTTCTTGGTCCAAGCGGGGCCTCATGAGTCAATGCTAAGCCTCTGGGCAGTGAACCACCCCAAGAGAGGTCTTCCCACGCTGGACGGGAGTCAGATGTCATCTCACCCAGAGGGGAGGACAGAATCTGTGGCCAAGGTCGGGGAAGGAAAAGGGAGACCAGATTCTGTTTTGTCAGTTGCTTCTACCGAGCTTGCAAAGTTTCTGACATCCAATATTTCATTAGAATGAATCCTCTTCATGAATAGACATATTACTAGAGAATTCAGGGCTACCCAGAATACCAGCTGTTACCAAGAAGAGCTAAAGTATTACCATGTGATGAGTTAACATAGACCTGTTTTTAAGGAAAGTGGGAACATAGGAACACAAACTATTTGGAGCACCCTCGACTGAAATCCACACTAGCTTGGAGAGATAGACTGTGTCCTGATGAGAGGGACTGAATTTCTGCCTGAACCATTGCAGCTTAGAACAAAATTGGAGGAACAAGAAAAATAACATTTATTGAGCACTTGTCTTAAGTAAGGCAGTGTGCTTACTACATCTTAGTTCAATTAAATCCTCACACCCATCGAGTGAGGGAGGCAGAGTCATCCCCATTTTGCAAACAGACAGGGTCGGGAACCACAAGTTGTCTGCCTCAAAAACTCAGGCCACTTGCTGCCTTCCAAGGTAAAGTTCATTAGCTGGGTAGAGAGAAGTTCAAGTCTTTTGTGAGTCTTTTTTTTTTTTTTAACATACCTGACCTTTAGGTAGCCACACAGTGAGCCAACACCAGTCCAAGGTACCCGACAGCCCAGTTGTTATTAAAAAGGCCTCACTCTTGTGCTCTTCTGAGACGGCCTCTAGCTTATCGAAGAGACATTTGTAATAAACAACTTGGCCCTTGTACTCTCTGTTAGGTCCCCCTGCCTGTTGGTATACAGGAATCCCTTTGAGATGGAAAAAGGTGAGGAGGGAGGGCTAATGAAGGAAGGAATAAAACCAGGCCTGCCTGGCACTCTAGCAAATTTTAATTTTCAAGTGTTTAGCGGAGAAGCTTAAATCTATTTGTTACATTTTAATTGAAAGTCTTCCAGTCCGTCTTACCGAAGCTCTAAGTATTATTATGACTAAAACCTCAGCATTGTTTTGTAGCTCTGAAGTGACTTTTATGAGCCAGCCTCAGTAGACTAATTGCACTTCTGTTCAGGAGTTGGAAATGTTCACTGTTAAATATATCTCATGCAAATTGGTGATCTTGTTACTATTTTGGCCTTCTGAGTGGCAGGACTTATAATCCTTTGAGAATAAGGTACCTGACCTACCTTTCAGTATACAGTTTTGCAAACCTCTCCATATGGCTTGTGCTGAAATTTTAACGTAAGTCCTCAAGGGCAGATGCAGCATGAACTACATGATGGCATTTGGCACATGCTCTTCACTCATGAGCTGCATGCCAATGATGTTCAAAACTTCACTCTGCTTTTTTATGGTTTTCAAAACTTATTTTGCCCCCCATGAAATGCTTTAATATCTGGCTCCCTGGAATTTTCCTCTGCTGCTTTATGTCTATGCTAATCAGCCTGAATTTGGATTCTATCACATAAATACATGAGAATGTTAGCAGTAGTCTCTTTGAGAAGTGCCCGAATTTATGGAGCAAAGAATTAGACTCTGCCTCCATGGTGGTTTCTTTCTATGGGTGGTGCTCAAAGCATGCCTTTAGAATTTGAGAACTTTGAGAAAATTTTGAGCCTCTTCCAGGCGGTCATCACGTCTGTAGGTGCAACCTGACCTAGCTTAGTTGTATTCTCTAGAATCTTTATATTTTGGTCTTTTGCTCTTTATCTCTGGCTCTGCTTTGAAGATAACTTTTTTAGCTACAATATCACTGGCTTTTAGAAGGGAAGAATAAAGTCCAGAATAATGAGATGGTTCAGGATCAAGGCGATAGCTAAGGCTGGAACTAACTTGCTTGACTGGTCTTCTGGGAATGTGGGTCACACCTAGCCTGGCCCCTGCATCGCTTCCTCGAGCCACCTTCATTCAGAAGCAGCCCAGTCTTCTCTTTGGTTGGACCCTGCACAGGGTGTAGAGGAGGAATCAGCACCATTAGCCCCATTCTCTTTACTCTTAGTCCCCAGAGAGACAGCACGTGGCCCCCTCCCACCAGCCCCCCATGCCTGGTCACCGCAAGATTGTTTGAGTCAATGTGGATGCAAGAAGTGGAGTCAATAGACGCAAGATGAATTTGAACTTAAAAGGTTCGGGTTAGAATATTGGCATCCACTACTTTTCGGTTGCATCTTCTTGGACAAGACAATTTCTCCTGGGTCTCAGGTTTTCTATCTTGAAAACGAAGAAAATTGAGTCTCCGTCTTGGGAGGATGAAGTGATGCCATGTGTGACGTGCCAGAGGCGCTGTGAGGGAGTGAGCAAGGGTTGGGTGTTTGATGTTATGGTGGTTCCAGACCATCCTACCTGCTCTTTTCATTCCCGTGAAGCCAACAGGGAATTAAAATGGGCTGGAATCCCAGACGTTTGGCATCCCTTCACCATGTGAACAGAACAACCAGCAGGGACTAATTAAGACAGCATGGACATATGTGTTTGCATTACTTCCACGTTCGTGAATTCGCACGAGGCTGAGTGTGAATTCCCACCACCCTCTCAGCTGGCGTTACACCCCCAAGCATATTTATGTGAAGACACACACACACTCCCACACCCACACCTACACACACTCATGTACAAACTCAACTTCTGTCTGAAGACTTTGGTTCAACAGAGAACATCAGTCAGTGACAGTCAGTCAACTCTATCTGCACATTGGAAGCACCTGGGGAGCTTTTGAAACCACCCATGGGCAGCCTCACTCTAGACCAGTCATGTGAAAATGTCCGGCGGTGAGGCCGAGGCATCTGTACTTCTTAGCTGGGTGAGGAACCTCAGGCCTGGAATCAGAGGAGGGCAAAACTGGAAGGAGACTTAGAAATCTCGTGGTTGAATGATACCCTTTTCTAATAAGGACATTTAGGTCCAGAAAGCTTAAGCTACAAACGCAGCATCAGAACCTGCACGTGGGGGCTTCGTGTGCAGTCGTTTCTTCCCCGGAACACGCTGCCTCTGCGAAAATATAAGATGGTAGATTTCCTCTTTAAAATTGTAAATAGCACTGGCCTCCCGGGAGCCCTCACAGCATCTAGCCCTCACCATGACCACATCTTGGAATCTCTTAGGCAGCTTTGGAAATGTGATGTTCAAATTCCAACCCAGACACATTAAGTCAGAACATCCGGGGATGGGGTTCAGGCAGCAGTGTTTTGGTTTTGTTTTTGTTTTTTCCAAACTCCTGGTTGGTTCCTGTGAGCAGCCAAGATCGAGAACCGTTCGTGTTGGGTGAGAATTACTGGGGGGAGTTCCTCTGTGAGATATAGATAGTGATTCCTTAAATAAGAGCTACGGAAAAGAGGAATCCCCTGGGCATTCAATTTGGAAGTACATTTTCTATATTCTCTGTCCTTTAAGAGGAAAAAGCAGCTTTTTTTCTTTTTACAGAGCAAATATGTCCTTGTGTAGAGTCACTGAATTCCAGCATCTTTGTAATTTAGTTTGCTTTTCTCCTGTGGTATCAATATAAAGTCAGAGGTCTATTAAAATTCTAAAAGGACCCCAGCATCAAGCAAAGGAAATGAGAATGTGGCTTGTTGAGTGCACACTGGTTTACTCCAGGATTGATGTTGTCATCCAGAAATTATCCCTCTGACCATAGATCCTTCTGACCCTCTGTGACCAGCTGCAGGACAGGAATAAAAAGACATTTACTGGTAAGATCTGGCTAGAATTTTTAGTGTGCCAGAAATGGGCTGCCTGTTTCCAGAAACTCACTGAGCCCTGGTTAAGATCACAGCATGGCTCATAGCCATCTTCCCCCTGGCTCTCATGGTTCCAGAAAGCCTGACCCAGGGACCCAGTGTGGAAGGCTCAGCCTCTAAACTTGGCCTCCTCCTCTCTGTATCCTGCACAGAGGAATGAGTCTGAACAGTTGTGCATCTACGTAGATGTTTGGCTCCTTTGCATTTTCCAAAATACAAATCACAGGGTTAAGCATCAAGCCGTATTTAATCATGTTCCAGACAAGTCAGCAACGGACAAACGTAAGGACAGACACTTTGTTCATCAACTACATCACGTGGCCCCACCTGATTTAGTTTATATTCTCTCATTTCCCACAACGCCCGCCCTGGTCAGGCTCCCCTCCTCCCGTCTCCTAAGCATAACATTCTCATCGGCATGTAAGCTGTTGCCTCTGCCTCCCCAGGTGCCATCCCCTCCACTGAGGCCCACGTGAAGCCTTGCGCTCTGTCCCAAACCACTCTCCTTTTGTATCCAGGTCCTCATTAATTGGCATCCTGGGTCCACTGCTTACATGGTATGTGACCAGGGGCAAGTTACTTAACCTAACTCTGTCTCAGTTTCTTCACCTGTAAAATGGGCACAATAGTCGTACCTGCCTCTGAGGTTGCTGTAAAGATTGTAGGAGTTAAATGCCTTAAGCATGTGGAGCAGTACCAGGCACATAGCAAGCACTCAACAAATGCTAGCTGTTGATGGCTGGCCAAGGTCGGTTCACCAGTTTATCATCAGCCGTGACCTGCAAGACCCTTACCTCTTCCAGCATTCCAGCGCTGACTGTTACAAATGGTCATTCAGATGCAAATCTAAAGGAGGTTTTCATTTGCTCTCTCTTCTCCTTCTTTCTCTCCCCTCTGCCCCCCCATCCCACCTCACCTCATCGCAAAGGAAGCAGGAGATGTTTCCTCAGCACAAGTAACTCTGTTTCCTATTTCACGTTTGTGT